ATAAACAAATACATTTAATGGAGATCAAAATTATTTCAACACATAATGTTTCGAATATGATGAAAATATGAAGATAAAATAATAAAATAAATAAAATTATTTATCTCGAAGAACATTATTTTAAAATATTATAATATATTATAAATACATATATAATATATTATAAATACAGTGGGAGGTTAACGAGGAAAATAAATTGTAATAACGAGGACATTTCGCATAATGACTGACGAGGAATGGAGAAGTCTATGATTGTGCGCCTGCCACATCATTTTCAAAACTTGTATTCACATATTATTTGCATGTTTCCGAATACACACTTGCATGTTTCCGAATAAAAAGCAAAAGAATAAAAATAACCATAGATATGAAAAGCAAAATCATTACTTTTTTTACGACGTGGAATGCATTATCGTATTTTAAATTAGTTTATATGGGGAAAATTGTTTCACTATAGGAGTATTTCATTATACGAGTAAAAATACGGAAATTCTGTAACGGAGTATGTTCGTTATGGGAGGTTCAACTGTACTTCATATTATTAACTTCAAAATAAACGAGTAATGACAATCATCATTTCAACATTCGAAAATATGAAGACAATCAACGAATTTAATATTATTTTTAAAAAGTATACAGTGGAACCTCGCTTAACGAGTTTAATCCGTTCCAAAATTTCCGGATTTTTACTCTTATAGTGAAACATTTTCAAAAATACACTTATGTCTACACAAGTTTTACAAATAATGTAAAAGACTCGCAATCCGGGACTTCTCTTCTCATCGTCACTCATTATGCGAAACGTCGCTCGTTAAGCGAGTCATTTTTCTTACTATTAATTTTGCTTGTTAAGCGAAATGCTCGTTATGCGATGTACTCGTTAAGCGAGGTTCCATTGTATTTTGTTTCTAAAAACTATTTCAAATATCTGCATTTTTATAAGCGAAGAGTAAATACTTTATATATCGGTAAATCTATTATTGTTACGTGAAAACGAAATTTGGTACTTTCCAAGAAGAAGATAAACTATTAAGTCTACTTGAACCAACCAAACATTTTGAAGATTGAGCATATACAATATTTAATGTTTTCAGTTTTGGAAATATATAAGAAAGATCATTCGATTAAAGAAAATACATACTGATATTTCTTGAATATAATATAAATATTTTTCGTATAAATCTTATTGTTGATTTTTTTTATCTATCTGTAATTTAAAATTCTCATTATAAATAATTAAACAAGTAGATAAGCAAATTTTATATAAAAATTATTCAATATGAAAAGCCTATAAATTAATCAATTATTACCATGATCATTGAAAACTTGGATAAGTTTATTATAAGAATTATATTTACTTAAGCATATCTATTTATAGAGAAATTTCGTAATTATCAGTTGTAAAAAATAAACTATTATCAAATTAAACGATAATAATACTATTACTTATATTTCAAATGCATTAATATAAATAATTTAATTATTTTCTAATACAATAAAATAACATTAGAAGCATTTGAAAAAGCAATATAATTATGAGTTTGGAATTATGTTAAAATCGCCCATGAAGCGAAATAAAATTAATTAATGATATTTCTATATAAAAAAAAGAGATTGTTGTGTTTACCCGCCCTACGCATTTTCCCGACCTCAATAGTTTATATTCTGAAGAACGTCGTAACTGAATGCAATCACGACATAAGAATTTTCCAATGAGTATAAGGTCGGAGTCATCACTGATTATAACAATTAAATATTAATTGCAGGTTGTAAATTGGTATACAATCAATAAGTAAAATAAAAATTCATGCATAGTTCAAAATGTATAAACAATTACTTGAAACTATAGTTGTTAATGTTGTTAGAAATAAATATATCAATTGCCACATAGTAATAAATTTTATCAAAGTATTTAACGTAGATTTAGATTTTTTCAATTTAGAATCATTTAATTCATGAACACAATGAACCAAAGAAAAATGTTGATAATACCAATACCAACTGTTCCAATTACTGCATGCTCCAGAATAGAAAGAGTTCGGCCTAGAAAGCTTCCTTAATAACATTGAGTTACTAATAAATAACCAGGTTATAGTATGTATACATACACAAATACATGTTATCGCTCGAAAACATAAATCATGATAAAGTAATGTATGTATAAATAATTTTAATATTTAACTAAAGTTGAGTTATTAATTTTTAATATAATAGGAAATATAATTAATTTTACATGAAAATAAATGGAGAAACCATTATTTAAAGTTATATAACATATGGGTCGCATAATTCTCATAATTAGAAAATTATAGGCATTTACCGAACCAAAACTGCAGAGGTCAATTAATTGAAAACGCATCTAAATTTAATTTACTACAAATAAACCTTTTGTATAACATTTCGTTCATTATCAAGTTATAAAACACAACCAAGTAAGTAAACACAAAACACAGTAATTTGCATATTTATCATAAAATAATTATGTTTGCTTACTGCTATTTTCGTAGTACAGCAGTACCTCGCAAAGTGCGGGTTCCGACAATAACCAAACTAATCGAGGACGAGAAATATAATTTTGTATACTAATTTTTTTGAATATCTTTTCATTATCATTTAAAATTTAGTTTCTTTTGTATTTCTCTTTTAATCCATATAGAATTTCATATTAACGTAAAAATAAATTACATTGTTCCATCAATACCAAATAATGACACATTCGATGTTTCTATGGTAATTTACAACATAATCGTTTGTCCTGTATAGAAAATATAGTCGATTGTCAATCAATATTTATTAATTACTAGTTAAAATATTGTTTCAATTTATGGTAATATTAACCACAATCAATCATACAGTCCAATATAAATTATTTATACATTTCATATTATACCAAAAAAACAAAAAATGAAATAAATACGTCATAGTTTATTAGAAATGCATACGTTTAAAGAGTAACTTTCACAGGTAAACTTAATAGCAATTTTTATTGATTCGTTACGGACTACTTGTTTAAGATTAAGATATTTAAGCAAAACTATAGAAAGCAATAAGATAAAATATTAAACCATATATCAATGTTTTTGCAGGTAAGTCAGAAGATCAAATAAAACAAGTCATCATTTATTTTAAGTGAGCTCAAATAAAACCAAAACAGCATCAAAATAATAATAATGTTGTTTTCAAGTTGAATAAAAAAAATAAATGGAAAAATTTGATGCAATTATTAAGTTTTTAATAAATTTCAATATAAATATCTAATTAAATAATTTAATTATGTTTTTTTTAATAATTAATTAAACTGTAATAAACAACTTGACCATATTTCTGTGAAACCGTCAGCTGAATATTGCTTATGCTAATGGTAGTTATTGATTTTTCACATATATGTATTGATTAAATTTATTGCTAGTAGTTCAATATGCAATAAGCTTGAATATTAGTAATATGTACATATGTTGGTTAAATATGTACATAATTATCGAAGAATAGGTGCTAATTGCACTATGTATAAAGTTCTTTCTATAAAGATAAGATATATATATACACAGTAGCACACAGTAATAACATAGTATAAGATATTATATAAGTGAAGTCCTTTAAGTAAATATACAAGTGTAAAGAAATGCAAACTTGTTTTGAAATCAGTCCACAAATTAAAGTGGCTTCCTTGATATATATTCTATATTTAAATCTCATTGAATTTATTTATTTATTATTAGATTATGGGACAGAAAGACATATGGTGTCCTTTGCAGTAGTTTATGTTTTTCTTGATTATTATTGTCGTTATGAATGAAAAGGTTTAATTTTGCTTTTTTTAACTGTTGAAATAAAATTATTATTATATTAGATTATGACTTAATCAATATGATTACAAAATCCTTGAACAATAAGGAATGAAACAAAATAGTCATTGATTCGGAGTTATTGATTAATTCTGTGAATGTTGCGAAGGTTTTACATTTTACATTAATTATCAACAGGTTGGATAATCAATAATCTCTGTTGCTAAGAAAACGTTGAGTAATGTTTTTAATTGAAGACGTGTATTGAGTTAATTCTACTATGGCTAATTAGGTTTAATTGGTGTCAAAATGCAATGCAGTGGAGACGAGCAAACAAAATTGATAAACCGTAGCAAAAAACGCATTGGTAGGAGGGTCAGGAACGCCGCTTTGTGGGTCGGCCTGCATGGTTATTGATCCATCATTGTGAGAGCTAGTAAATCACCATACAGAAAAAAAAGAAACAGGGTTGCACCCCCATCTTGGCTACCCCAAAAAGGGCGTACAGTTCAGATCTAGTGTACGTGTGTGTTTTTTTTGTTTTTTGTCGAGGGGGTAAGAAACAAGCGAGAAGTAAAAAAAAAAACAAAACACGCTCTCACCAAATCCACCGCTGGCCGGTTATTTGGAATCAATCCATCAATGTCTTTGATGGAATACTGTGGCACTTTCTCATACTTGGCCGTTTTATTCGGTGACTTTTTCATCTTTGATCAATTAATTTGATACACCTACGACGCGGTGCTACCAGTCGGGAATTGTTTACATGCTAATGTTTAAATAAACACTGAAATCGAGCGACTGTCGCGGTTTCCCCGTGCAGCGAACGCTTGACGTCTTCTGTCAAAACGCACCGACATCTGGTTACCACCATCAGAACTACAAGTCGTAACGATGGTTGCCTGCAGCGAGGTCCTCCACGTCCGAAAAACCTTTATTATTTATCACCTGGCCAGGTAAAATGATACAAAACTAACCTGTTTTGATGTCCTGAACTCAGATAATCATGACCACTCATATTTATTGTACGAACTCATCACTGATAATCCTCATTTTCACGAAAATATTGAAGAGACACAACCCTGGCCTCACCAGCACAAAGTGAACTACAATACGTGATGTGATTTACTCGGGATTTTGACGTTTAATGACGTTTAAGATTACGATTGGCTCAGATAGAAGTTCCTTTTTTGTTTAAACAGTTCAAATCGATAATTGAAACTGAATCGAAGTTGGCGCAATTCATTATTTAGTGACCGAAAGTGTTTCACCAAAATTTCCATTTGTTGTTCATAAGGTAAACTATATGCAACTCTATAAATGCATTATTGATTATTGATTGCAGCCAATGGAGCCAATAAAAATTTATCCCACTGCAGAAGAATTGTCAACAGTGGCGACGCTTTTGTACTGCACAGAGGAAGGATGTACAAAGTTGTTTAAGTCCCAGTCAAACTTGAACTTACATCTAGCCAAAAGCCACAAGATCAAGCATTGTGTAAATGGCTTACTGAAGAAACCAAATATTCTGAAGGAATTCTATTGCCCAGACAAGGAATGCATGATACTTGGTAAACATTTTAAAACTTCCAAGTTACTTAAGCAGCATTTCCAGAAAGTGCATGTTCAGAAATCATTCATCTGTGAAAAGTGCGATAAGGCTTTTGTATCAAATAATCACAAAGCAACACATCTGGAGTATTGCGGCACTAAATTTGTTTGCAAATTATGCTCATCAAGCTATGATAATTATGACTCATTGTTGGCCCATGGTAGAAGAAAGAAACATAAAATTCCACTTAAAACAGCATACAAAGATCCAGAATTTATCACAGCTCCCTGTATAAAGTCAGAGATCACAAAAAAAATTGTCATTTTGATGCCTAAACATAAGCATATCCAGAAAGCTGACCAAAGTAGCCAAACAGATTTGACAGAAGATCAAGGAGAGCCCAAGTGCAAATCTAGAAAAACATCTGAAACACAGACTTCCAAAAAGCACAATCAACAGAGACTAAGTGCAGGCACTCAGACAACTGTTGATTACATGTCAATGAAATTAGTTGATGATCTGTCAAGCAGTAGCTCCTCAGAGAGTTTGAACAAGAAAAGTACAAATACCCAGACTGCTACAGTGCAGTTAACTACAAAGTCTTGCAATACTTCATTGGATTGGAACAGCTTCCCATCAGCACAAACTAATGAAGTTGAAACAATGACACTGGGAACCCAGACAGTGATAATGTTGCCAAATTTGAATAATGTTCAAAAGAATTATGATCCGCTTCCTGGCTCCAGTGCAGAGAATTTGTTTGAATTCAATGATATTAGCAGTCAGACGAGTTTTAATGAGAATTTAGATTTCGATTCCAACAGTTTCTTCAATTGCGATATAGAAACGCAGACTGACTTTAATTCATTGGAATTGGACCTTCTCGCAACAGACTTTTATACAAATATGTATACTCAGACTTGCGGTTTGCAAGTCAACAATAACATCGAAACGCAGACAGTCGTTGACGACACACTGAGATCTGTTGGTAGTCAGACGACAGTTTCGACAAATACTGGGTTATTGACGATGTGCCGAGACACGGTCCACATCGAAACCCAAACTGATAATGCATTCAAGCAGATGCTTGAAGAAATCAATGCTTGACTATAAAGAGCCTTTTTAGTTTGGGTTTTATTCGGTTTCCATTTATTCATTTGTTAAATTATTAATTATATATATTTTTTAACAAAATTTAAAAAAGAAATCATATCACATTAAAAAATTCATTGTAATCCAATACAAGAATTTGATACAAGTATAAATTGTGTATGATACATATAAAAATAAAATTAACCAACATTGATGTTATTTATGCTTACTAATAAGAATTGTTCGAAGCCACCCGTATATGATGCAAAGCTCTTTGAAATATTAATTGAGACAAGATGCAAACACAGGGAAGAGATAAAAGATCGCATCTAAGAGGGAAGAGCTACTAATCTGAAGTGAATAATATCCTTTTCGTAAGTATTTCGTATATGTACATTGTTATCTTAATAAAATATATTTCGTGTCTATAAAGCAGGGCCTGTATCGTCATCTATATCCGAATGATATGATTCTGGATGTTCTTCAATCCGCGACATACTTTCCAAAGATGAAGCCAGCATCCTCAAGTTGCCCACTCCTGTCAGCAGTTGTCTAAGGATATATGTATAAATAATGTAAATATTTAAAGAGAAATGTGTTAAATAAGATGAATATGAAATGACTATATGTCTCACCTTAATGATTGTTCTGCTGTAGTAGCAGCTGTTCTGAGCTCCTGGGCAACTCTTTGTGATTGGATTTCATTGGGCAAATTCATACTTGGGCCACCACTGGCACCATCATCCCCTCTGAGTAGTCTGTTTTCCCTCCTTAATATGTTATTCTCATTCTATAAAATCATCAATATTACGAATTTACTAATGTTTGCATATGGTATCTTACATTTAATGATTTAACTTCTTGTCTCAACTTTACTATTACGTTTTCTGATGATGCTGCTCTTATCTGAAAACAGAATCATTGGATTATGCGCATAATGTAATCAGTTTTCTATTTACATTGCTCCTCTCAAGATTTTTCTCAACTTGTTCAAGAGCTTTAGCCAAGTTCTGTGTGTACTCATGTTCCTTATTTCTTGCTAACTCCAGTTCTCTGCTAAGGAAATCCGCTCGACGTGTTTGTATCTGCAGTTGCTGCCTAAGCAACTCCATTTCTTGTCTTAATCGGTTTGTATCATATTCTGGACTTTGTCCACTATTATTAATTCCATCATTGTTTTGTGTTCTTGCTGCACCATCTGCTAAGAAGTCTGGTAGACTCTTGGAATTCCCCACCTATAACATATATATCTATAATTATTTATTTAATATAAGTTTTATAATATTTACTTCTGATACTGAGGGGCAACTTCTGCTACCAGACTGTGGCTCAGTAATTGGCAAATCCAGTGGGAACTCGGCCTGAGGTCTCACTGGCAAATCTAAAGGTATGTTAATAGCTGAATTGTTCTCTCTTCTAGGTAGATCATTAGTATTTCTGTTTCTTTGAGTAAAATCTGGTAGATTGTTAACATCTACATTGTAGTTGCCTTGTATGGGATTCCCCAAGTAGCATTGCTCTATGACTAGATGATCTTGTACGAAATCTGGCAAGGCTGATGACAGCTCAGGAACAATGCGGTTTGTTTGGTGAGATTCAGATGATGGGTGAATATCCAAGTCAGGCAGAGAATTTATGGGTCTGCCTTCACAGTAGACCTTCGGTCTGGCACCTTGGCTGTGGTAATTGGTTTTGTCATCCCGTAAAAAGTGTTTGAAAGAAAATGGATTTTCCTCACGTCTCGCTGGCACCTCATTTTGGCTCGTACCTGAAACGTTCTCATTAACAAAATATTAATGACAATAATATGTGCAACACTCTCACCTGGAGCATAGACGTTATGCTCAGCCGTTTCTCTCCTCTCGCAATTCAAGTTGAGTAAGTCCAACTTGACTCTATCCTCAGAATCAGAATCGTCGCTCGATGAGGCCTTAAATTTTGGGGGTTTATCACCATCAGCCATAATAATAACCAAACAATTTTTTTATTATTATTATTACGGCCCTATTTCTGCCATCAAATGGTGCTTATCGACCCCCACAGGGGGACCAAGGATTATGGGCAATTTGATGTTTTGCCACTGTGGCGCAGTCATCGAATCTTAGTTCATCGCCAGAACTTAGCAAGGTGCCACTAGTTTCTAGCGCCAAATAATCAAAATTTTGAAAATTATTAAAACTTCAATTAACCAGTACAGTTTATATCTAAATTGCATTATCAAATAAATACTATTGTAAATAAATTGAGTGGCGAAATTTTCTATTCTTTATAGCTACATAATTACTAGACATTTATGAAAATTAGAACATATACTATTATTTGGAATATTGATATAAATAATAAATAGATCTTATTTTTTCCTTCTTTTACTGAATCCAGTCTTGGCGTCTAGACTGACTCAATGTATCTTTACGACTTCAGAATCAAATATTTGATGTTATCCTGATATATATATCTATAATAGGGTAATATATAGGGTAATTTTAAATTAATTGCGGCCAAAACAATTTTCTTTTTAAATTTTGTATTTATTTCTATAATTAACTAACAGAAACACAACTAATCAATTTGAATCTTAGGACCTCTGAAATTATATGTTTCGACGTTTGGATGTTCATCACAAATAATTTTGTAAGCATAGCAGATCCTTGCAAACTCCTCATTTGTAATTTCGAAAGGACGCGCTCTGCTATCAACATCAGCAAGTTGGAACAGTTTAAAACCTGGAATATAAAATAAATACATTAGATTCTGATTAGAATGATTACACATTATAATTGTTACTAAATTGATATTGCATCAATTGTTATTGTAACGTCAAAATTGGTCATCATTTTCATATACTTTATAATGGTAATTAAATAAGTACAGTAATTTAATATAGTTAAAAAATATAATATAAATAAAATAATACCTAAAAAGTCCCTCTCTTCTGGTGGAAACAAGGTTTGAGCTCCTTTCATAGAAGCTTTCTGCCTCATGTTAAATATTGATCTTAATATTTTCTCGACCATTTTGAAGGGTAATGTCACTAAAGGTTGTGTTTTTGGTATTAAGGTGACAACGCCCACATCAACATCTGGTTTAGGTAAAAAAGCTGATCCAGGGATGGTAAATTTGTGATTTACTTCACACCAAAATTGACACATCACAGATAATCTGCATCTTTGTTTATCTGATACTTGGGCTGTTATTCTCTCAGCTACTTCCTTCTGAAAAGTCAGAGTCATACTAGATCTACCAAAGGACCAAGCTGATGATTTCTCAGATATTGATTGTAACCATCTAATGATCAAATTAGTTGAAACATTAAATGGCAAATTTCCTATAACAAAATATAGTGATTATATAAGAAATATGCATTTCTACATCTTCATACCTATCAGATGTATGGGTGGTGGAGCTTCATACCAGTTACTTTTTTTACAAGTTTCAAAGCCTTTCTCAAAATTGTATGATCTTATGTCACCAATTTCAATATCCATTTGTGAAGAGCCTTCACAGGCTTCCTTAAGTAACTCCAATGTTGGAATAAATCTGGGATCCTTTTCAACAACAATTAACTTTCTTGGTTTATTTTTAATGATGGATCTTGTGATTCCACCAGGTCCTGGACCAACCTCGCATACATAATGATTTTGGATGTTCCCTGCTGCTCTTACAATTCTATCTGTGATTCGTTCATCCATCAAAAAGTTCTGAGACAATTGCTTAAGTGCTCTTAATCTATATAAACGTACTAGGTCTCTAATTGTGGGTAAAGGGGGTAAGCGGAGTTGTTTGAATGCAGCCATTTCTATTGCTTCTCGATGACTTTAACGGGTTCGTCAAAATCGTCCAGGAATTTCTCCTGTTTCACAGCAAGCATAGAATACAAATAGATACCAATGACGGCGCCTCCTATCACCGATGCAGTGCGAATGTTGTTCCTTCGCAGCAGCTTCAACTTCTCAACTCTTTCTCTATTCTGCGACTCCACGTATTTCATAAAATCTAAATCTGATTGTTTCAACTTGCTTATATCTGCGCTGGGCATACGTTCTTTATCACTCATATTTGTTGGTTTTATTAGATTTGAAATACACCTCAAATCATCTGCAGGTACAGCTTGTCTAACCTCACTTTGGCATTGATGATTTTTTATATAGAGTTATGCAACTCAACATGTACAGAGGCTTATTTAATAAACTATAAACACAGGACTCACACGGCATGTAAAACGTGTTATGAGACTAACACAAAGTTTATTTTTATTACGCTTTCCTGATAGAAAGATAACTTTCAACAATAAAAATTGTTTTACCATAGAAAATTATACAAAAACATTGTACATGTGATTTGAAACATAATTTTCCTATTATAAGGTCTTAAAGTTTCGCTAAAATTTATAAGGTATCGTAAGTTTTTATTTAATGTAAACTCATATCTAATAGTACCAATTCATGAATAAATTTAACAACTTTCACAAATTGACAAAATAAATTTATTTATCATTACTTTATGATATATGATTTCTAAAGAAGATATCCTATTTCTTTTACTACATTTCTTATAAATTATTAAGTTCTTAAATATTAATTTAACGTACACATATTTTTTTACATTTCGAATAGATTTTCGTAGTGTTGTCCTTCTTCTTTACTTTTTACCAAACTTGTACTTTTTGGGTTTGAAATCTTCTTTTATTTCATCCGAATCCGACTAATCAGCAGGAGTTCCGATGCGTTGGTCTTCCAAATCACTCGGAACTCAATAAAAAACTCCTATTATTGTAGTTGCCTTGCAAGGCATTCCTCAAGTAGTATTGCTATATGACGAAATTATGCTTTTTCTATTCTCTCGCAATTCAATACAAAATGTATATTATTTTTCAAATTAATTAATTCTTCGTTATTCGTTTACGAGAACTTAAATTCTTTGCTTGTATATTATGTTTCTTAAAGCACCCATTAGGAAGTATCCATTACTTTTTATTTTACTTGACATTATTGGAATACATTTCTTTCTACAAAATAGCACTTATAACATTAATTGCTAAGGAAATACTATAGATTTTTTATGATTTACTGCTGTACATTAATCATAATTTTATAAATGGTTATAATAAATTAATATATTTTTTAAATTTGTAAATGTATATGGTTAAAGAAACATGCAAAAAATAATCTGACTAAATCATTGTCAGAAAACTTTGCTATGAAAGTGGACGTCCGAATTTACATTTTACCTTGTTATTCATAAAAGCATATTCATTAAAAAAAAGCAAGACTTTTCAAACTCTTTGGGACGCGGGATTCATTATTACTATCTTAGTTTTACAATAGAAATGTATTTCTGATGTTAAAAGCTACTGTTACTAAATAGTTTGTTGAAATACATTTTATGATCTACGATAATTTTCATATTTACGATCAAGCCAACTTCCACAATGTCTTCATGCATATGAATGCATACATATACAAAATTATTACGACATATTGTAAGTATTTTTAAGTTTACTCTTGAAGTGTTGACCACGTTTATTTTTGTTTTGTTTTGCAGGGCGGGTCTAATTGTTAGAAATCGGGACTTTCCCATCATACATTTAATATTTAATATGTACGGTGGGATTTCCTCAATTGAGATTTTTGTTTAAAAGCGATTGCAAAACCTTTCAGATAACCCCTATGTTTATCGTCTTTGAAAGTATATATAATAGCAACAGTTTGATTTCCTTCAAAGTTTCGACAATATGTTTAAAGAAATTTTATTAGTTTTCTTGTTTTCTACCACCGTGTTTTCCGAACACGAAGGAAGGATAAGGAAACGGCAGGCGACGCACGAATTCAAAAACAAAAATTACTACTTGGAAACGCTAATAAGGGTATGATATTCAAACTTTCAATAATGATTTGAAGTCATTTTTATATTTTCGATCAGGCCAACTTCCACAATTCCTTCATGTTCTGCCAGAGGTTAGGCATGCAATTGTTAACGATCAACTCCAACGAGGAATACGATTACATATACAAAATTATTACGTCTGAATGTAAGATTTTATTTTTTTTTGATAAAGCGATTCAATTAATCACGTGTTTCTTCTCTTCCTTACCAGTGACATTCGGTTGGGATTCAAAGCTTTGGACTTCCGGGACAGACTTGGGAAGGGAAGGTAAATTTAATTGGTTGTCCACTGGGCAACCAATTAAGATTAATAAGTGGTTGCGAGGGCAACCAGATAATGACCACGGTAGTGGTGAGCATTGCGTAGAATTTTGGAACAATAGAGGAAGTATAGGTTTGAACGATGATAAATGTCACATTGAAAATAACTTTATTTGCGAAAGTTTCAAGTAATACATAAAATGTTAAATAGTACAAAAAGGGCTAAAGTCAATATCCTTTTGCAGCAGTTGACTTTTTATTATAGTATTAAGCTTTTATTTTGTATTTTTATTGTTGCAATAAATATTATTATTATTAGTACAAAAATTATAACATTCTACATATAAACAAATATTTTACTTACAAAATTTGTTCTAATTGTATAAATGTATATAATAAATATTGGGAACATATTTTCTTTTTATTTTTTTATACGAATTAAGCACAAAACACTACCATGTGGAACGCTTAAATCATTTTTTAAATAACCTCCCTTTATGGTAAGAAAATAAATATAGCATGTTAGTTGCTAACCAACTTTACAGGATGAGCCTCTATGGTTGCTTTTTCACTATTTAATACATCGGTTTTATGATACAAATAACATGTATATTTCTAGCAGTTAATTATCTGATAAACCTCAATTTAATAAATATTTATACTCTTACATAATGCCCGCAATTTAACTTAATATGGTTTCTATTTTAAACTTCACATTGCGTAATTTTTATATATGCGCAAAATTTAAACAAAACTTCCATTCAAGGAATATTTGAATTATGATAAAAACATTGTTTGCTTTTCATGCAGTATATCTGATATGCAAAGTGCATTATATTGTAATTACGTTTATGAATATATCGAAACGTAAATAAAAAAGGGGCACCAGATTTGACCTAAATATATGATAAAAGTTATCGTTTCTGCTATCGCCACAAACGAATATTCAGTGTGCACAATGAACTGCTTTAAGAAGTGTAAGTATTAATGCCAGCAATAATTCTATTATCTAATTTGATTCTATTTGTAGGTAACACGATTATTGTAAGGAGATATTCTTCTTCTTTGCAATTGCCGCCATGCGAATTCGTTCCAAAAAAATACAATGTAAATATATCATTATTTGTTATTATTATACTCTGCTACTTTAATAGTTAATTCGTAAATTTATTATTACAGGGTCCATCATACGAAAATCTAAAAAATATTCGTAAAGATAATCTTAATCCTGCATTGTTAACATTCTATAGTAAACCATTGGCTTTACATCAAGGATACAAACAATGGCTATTCGATATAGAAGGAAAACGTTATTTGGATTTATTTGGAGGAATCTGCACAGTCTCAGTGGGCCATTGCCATCCGTATATTTTCTTGTCATTCACATTCAATTAATGATAATTTTAAATATGATATATTTTAGGAGAATCACGAAGGCAGTTAATGAGCAAATGTCCACTTTAGGACATGTATCCAATATTTATTATCATCCAAAGATTCATGAATATGCCAAGAGATTAACAGAAAAAATGCCAGGAGAATTAAAAGTAAATATTAAGCTTCTATTAGGCTTCTTTGAGTTGTTGCATTACATATTTCATATTTTAGGTGGCTTACTTTGTCAACTCTGGGTCCGAGGCCAATGATTTGGCCATTTTAATGTCTAGAGTTTATACAGGTAATCATGAAATAGTTTCTTTCAGAAACTGTTACCATGGAATGACTTATCAAACCATGGCGTTGACAAGTCAAGGATCTTACAAATATAAGTTACCGACTTTGCCGGGATTTCACCATGTATGTTTCGTTTAATTGATTATTTAGCTAAGGTGAAATGATTATTGTTTGCAGGTGATGAATCCTGATATATTTAGAGGTTTATGGGGTGGGTCCAAATGTCGAGACAGCCCAGTTCAAGTGTCGCGAAACTGCGATTGCGGAGAAGTCTGTAATGCCAAAGAGAAGTATCTAGATCAGTTTAGGGAGTTATTCAAGTATACTCTACCAAAAAAGAGCGTTGCCGCGTTCTTTGCAGAATCCATTCAAGGCGTTGGGGGTGCTTTACAGTTCCCGAAAGGCTATATAAAGGAGGCTTATGATATTGTCAAAGAAAGCGGCGGATTATTTGTTTCGGACGAAGTGCAAACCGGTTTCGGGAGGACGGGTGATCACTTCTGGGGTTTCGAAGGGCACGAAATTATACCTGACATTGTCACAATGGCAAAAGGGATCGGTAACGGTTATCCATTGGCCGCAGTGGTAACGACGCCGGCAATTGCCGAGGCTCTAAGTAGGGCAAATCATTTTAACACGTTCGGCGGAAATCCGGTCGCCTCCGCGGTTGGAATAACAGTCTTAGACGTATACTACGATCACAATACAATCATGCACTCGATCGTTCATTCAATCTCATTTTAGATAATAGAAGAGGAAGAGTTACAACAGAATTGCAAGAATGTAGGTAACTATTTACTGAAGGAATTGGAGAAGATGAGGGATGAGTTTGAAGTAATCGGAGACGTTCGTGGTAAGGGTTTGATGATTGGAATTGAGTTAGTCGAAGATGGTAAACGGCCCTTAAGTTCCGAAAAGTTTCTGAAGATTTGGGAGTATTGCAAAGACGCCGGACTGCTGATAGGAAAAGGAGGCGCCGATGGAAACGTGCGGTATAAACAAAATATAATTTATTAAAGTAATTTAAATATTTGTAGGTGATAAGACTGAAACCACCCATGTGTATCACAAAGGAAGACGCAAGGTTTGGGCTGGAAGTGATGAGGCTGGCTTTTAAATCCCTAAATTAAAGGCATTGTCCTTCGTTCTGGTAGCACCAGAATGGGGTCAGAGCTTCGGCGGCTATTCCTCGGCTAATCAATCTCTCTCTGTGCCTGTACATCCTAGCCTCAACTTGCTTCGTTGTTGCATAAGAATTCGACCACAATCTTTCGGCGGCTGCTGCCGCCCTTGGCCAAACTCTTGAGTCGATCGCATCTCCATTCACCAATTCTCCCCACATGCATACCTGCAAAATATATTTTTGTAGTTGTTGTGTATACTTTATAAATTATATTAAATCACCTCTCCTCCTATCACGTTTCTATGGTTGATCAAACGATTTTCGTAAACGTTCCTCCACGTGTAATACTTTGTGTTACCCCAGAACCCATGATCCAAATACCAAGCGTTTTTCGTCGAGATTACCAACTTGTAACCTTTTTCAAGTAAACTTTGTGGTAATGGATCGTAAGACGGGACCCAGGTTTCTATGATATACCTATTTTTATCTAAGTATTTCTCGATAGCTTCAGGATTGGTCAATTCGCTGGACCAAAGCAGAATCTTCGTGTCCGAATTACCAACGGCGCTGTCGTAAGCGGCTAAAGCGTTTTCCTGAAACTCGCCCCACAAATCCAATAAGTCACCTTTATTTTGACCCTTGCCCTGCTGCTTCATGTAATTGACAATCTCTGGGGTCGAATTCCAACAGGGGAAGTATACCTCATCCCCGCCCATGTGGAAGAACTCGCTTTCCGGGAATTGTTCCACTATGTCCTTGTACAAAGCGTTTAAGACATTGTAAACCTGGATGTTCGCGGGATTTAATTGTCCGCACGGTGGTTGTATGCAGTTATATCTCCATGGTTGCTTATTTACGCAAACGCTTAAGTTACCCAACGCTTTATGGGGCCCCCATTGCCATCCGTTTCCGGCATGCGAAGGAGCATCGATTTCCATCAAAATTCGGATACCTCGGATCTTCGCATAATCTCTCAATTCTTTAATGTCTTGCGGGTTATAAACTTGATTTTCGGAAAACGAACCGAATCTAAAAGTTTCATAATTATGTATATGCTTATTAATATTTATATTCTTTGTTTACCTGGATAAATTTGGAACTCTAACAGAGACGTACGGAAAACTTTGCGAGTCTGTTATGTGCCAATGCAGGATGTTAAGTTTCGAAGAGGCCATAGCATCGATTTGCCTCTTAATGGTTTCAACAGTCAAGAAATTCCTGCCCGTATCGATCATTAGCGATCTGTGCTTATAGAAAGGCTTGTCTACAATGTGCACGTTAGCTACAGTGACCAAGCCGATCTTATCTTGAGCATTGTATGCGGCTATGAGTTGCGATAGTGATTCCAAGCCGTGCCTGGCTCCAAATACAGTTGCGGCATTGATCTTCCAGAATAGATCTAAAATAATACAACAAAAAAAATATATATCATTACAAAACAATTCAATGCAAAACTCACTGTTGGATTTAAGTTCGTAGCTTTCATCCGTTTCCCAATTGAGGCTCACATCTGTCGAATTAACGATGACTTTGATGTTCAGAGCTTCACCATCCGAGCCGCAAGCGCCACGACACTCTGAGAGTATATTTTTCTTAAAGATCTTTACATTTTCCTCCAAGATTTCTTTAACAGGATCGCTTCCAACCAGTTCGAAAGTTATTTCACTAAAATGATACAAAATTAAATGTGGATGTTCTTTATCTCTTAAAAAAAAATTGGATTTACTTTGGATTAATATCTAAAAGTTTGCTTGATTTGTTGAATTTTACTGATGGCAGAGGCCAAATTGATCCATCTGCTCCGCACACCAAGCGACATTCCTCAATTGATCGAAACACATTTGTCTGAATGGAATTCTTGTTTGAGTGTTGTCTAACGCAGACTTCTTGGTTACATCTCCACACCCACCTTAAAAACAAAATAAATTGGATGTTAATTAATACGATATTAAAAATTTAACAATATATCTTATCTTTTAAATTATTTTTTTCTAATAGATATAGTATGTATAAATATAAAACTTAACTATACATTTTTTAATTATGTTAAGTAACATATTATTATAAATAATTATATACAAATAAACAAAGTATTAATAGATAATATTTGTAATGTAAATAAGATATACTCAACCAAAGGTTATCAAAATTTGGTATCAACGTTATTGCATTTATCGTTTGATTTAATTTTGAGTACATACCTTGAAATATTTAAATTTGTTATTTTGTTACAATTATATAAAAAAACTAATGTTAATAAGTTTATTTTAAACATCAATAATATAAAGTCATTTCGAAAGCGTTTTGCAACGGGAACTGATTGATAAATGAGTTTATTGACTTATACAGTTCATAATACCAGGAAGAAAACATTGAAATTTGTGTATTGTATTATAATTTCAGTTAATTATAAACGAAAGCAGTTTTAAATATAATGTTAATCAATTAATTGTTATTCATTTTAAAATTATTGAAATTATAAGACTAAACTAAGAAAATGTAAATATATATAGTTCCATTACACTTGAAACAATTTTGCAAAAAATAATTAATTTATATATTAATAATACAGTGCAATAAAAAAAAATTAAACATAAATAATTTTAATTATTGAATATCATTGCAAATGGATTATTGATTTTTTTTTCAATTTTATATATTAATTTACTTTAATCAATTCAATTCGTTTTTCTTAAGGCATTAGGCAATGAAAATTATTTTATATTTAAATTGAATTATGAGAAGTAATAGAAAATGTTAACAAATTAAAGTTTTTTAGTATATATAATTTAATTTTTTTTTTAGTATTTTGCAAAGTGTTAAATTATTATTTACTTGAAAGAACTAAGCTAAAAATATTTAAATTTGTGATTTGTTTTATATATTACAATTGATTATAAGTTATTATGATATAATTATATTAATTAGTCAATGAGTTTTAGTTGCTTCTTTATAATAATAAAGTAATGAAATATTAGTGTGTGCTGATTAATATAATTTAGAAAAAAATATTTAATATTCAAATTTGTCATTATAATAATTAGTTACCGTTATTTTCGGTTTGTTTAAAACGCACCGACTATAAGACGCAGCAAAAATGAATGAGACAATTTTTAGAAACAATTATATTTGTATACCTCATATATTTTTATCACAATACAATAATTACTTTAATTCGTTTGTTATTTTAAGTGTGTCAGTTTGAAGTCGTTTAATTGCGGGAACGAATTTTAATTAAAATAATTGTTTGGCCGGCTTTTGCAATGTGTCATATAGATAGAAACGCCAGACGCTCGAAGTTTGCTAGAGATATTCTGTAGATAAGTTTCGTTTAAAATAGAAATCGAATTTTGCACTTACGTATTGGTGGCTTGATGGGAGAGGTGGAACAAGCCGATGAGCAGAAGCAGCAACCAAATCGGTTGCATCATGGTGTCTATCTTGGATCCTCGCTTCGATGCGATAACAATTGGAGCGCGTTTTCGGTTCCGAAGTTTCGTCCGTTGCAAAATAAAAAAACAAGCAGCGCCTAACTCTGCCGAACTCCAACCTCTCAATGTTTTGGTTTGGTTTTGCTTGAAGAACGGAATCGCTCTGAGCGGTTAATGCGCGCGCCGTATGCGGGGGTGCACTCCAAGGGGACACGATCCGGCTCCAATTTAATCCACGGCTCCGCAGCAGTTACATAACGGATGTCTATAACTGTGTGTGTGTGTATTTTATGTGTGTATGAGTATGTCTGAAGCAATTAAAAGACGCATTTAAGGCGAACGGCCGAACGGTACTAGAGATAAAAATGAGAGGCGATCTGAATGGAAGATAGGTTGCATAGAATGCAGCTGCGTTCCTGATGATACAATGCAAGGACATCGTCCTTCATTTAATAGAAGAGATGCGTTCATGCGTTCCATCAATCTATTATTGATCGACTTTTCGATTGTAATATTTCATTATGTAAATATAACGTAGCATCTGATAGTACTATTGATATCGCTTGATTATTTAATCAATAAATAACACATTATCAATCAACGAAATAACTGAACGCGGAACAGGATGTATTTAAAATGAAATTATTTGCACATAATATACACATGAGGCCAAAGTCGCAATCCGGTTTTTTATATTTTATAAAGAGTGTGGCGCTTTATAAAGTGTGAGTGTGTAGATAAACAAATTCATTTTTTTAAATGTAATTGTATATTTTCATATAAGAACACGCATAAAAATATAATTATGAAAAAGAAAATAATTATTTCAAAAATTCATGGGGAAAAAAATAAAATTAAAATGTTAATGGGAGCCGCATTTTTTCATTGTTGTAATATTCTATTAACTAATCTAATTATTGAGACATGAATCAATTAATTTCGACAATTTTACAGTTATTTAGAATAAACATTCTATTGGTATTAATTAATAATAATTACAATTTATAATAATAATAATAATAACCATAGTTTATTGACTCACATACAAAGGGCTAAAGACTGCATTCAATAGCCGTTTGTATACGAGAATTTAAGAATTTTAACGCATGAAATTACTTCCCATATAACGCGAATGTTAGACTCTATAGAAATAGAAATGTTGACTATTATGTTCAACGATAAACATTTTTACAGTAGAATATTGACGATACGTAAAATAAATATGCATGTGCGTACAATATGTGTGATAAAACGTATAAATTCCTAGTGATTCGTAAAAAACTAGTAAGCTGCGTTGTATAGAAACCGCCTTATGCGAGGGTTAACTGTATTTATTATTTAATTTAATTATTAAGTTAATACGTTTTTAGATTGAGAAGAAAAGCAACAATCTTTGATTCATACATTTTTTCTTATTTTTTTTAAATTTATTTATTTGCTGTTAATATCAATTGATTAATCAAAATTTAGATTGAATTTAATCAGTAACTAATAATTTATAAAATAAATATAGTAACAACAATTTGTGCCAAAGACCTTGTAAATCAATATAAATAAAATATTTTATTGTATACACGTACGTGTACATATAATTCGTAATAATTGAATTAAATATTTGTTAACAAGATTTGAAAGCAGTTTACTTAGCTAAACGAAAGCCATAATACAGTTTTCCTCATATAAACTTATGTAATATACAATAATGCGTTCTTCTATTTTGGAGTCATTTTTATTTTCCTCGTCAAGCGAAATGCTCGTTAAGCGAGGTTCCACTGTATATTGTGTAAACTTAAATATATTATGTTTCAGTATTGATTGTTAATTTTAATATTCTTACTGTAGACTTTGAACTACACTTTGTTTTCTACGAACTGTACAGATATAAGAAATGTACGATAATGATATATGACAGTAGTACATAAGAAATACTAAATACAGTGGAACCTCGCTTAACGAGTATAATTGGTTTCAAATTTTCCGGACTTTTACTCCTATAGTGAAACAATTTTCCTCATATAAACTAATGTAACATACGATTTTGCGTTCCATTTTGCAAGTAATTTTTTCTACAATTTATTTTGCTCATTAATCAAAATGCTCGTTATGCGAGGTGCTCCTTAAGCGAGGTTCCACTGTATGTGAAAGAAACAATGCAATAATTAATAAGTAATTGAACAGTTATTTAATAATTAGCATTACATTAAGATGTTGCATATTTTATTTGAATAAAACTTGTATTAGTATTTCCTATAGTTATGAATATAGAAGATGTTAGAAAAAAAATAGAAACAAATTAATTATAATTAATATAAATTATAGTTTTATCAAGAAAATTCTATACAAAAGGAAATTTCCAAAACCAATGCATATTTTCTAATTTATTCTAATTTATCCCAGATGTTACTTCAGTATTCAATGTATTGAGAAATCTTTTGAAATGCTCATGTTTCAGGTACCGAAAACTCTCAGAAATCACACGCTTCCTTCTCGACTTATTGTTGTTGTTTTTCTTTGAAATAATTAACGATCTACGAACAATATTAATTACAAAATCCTCAAGGTCGATCTATGATCTATGAGCAATAAATGTAATTACATTTGCATTTTATATTACACCTGCATATAATTAATTATTAGATTCAATTGAATAATAATAACGTTTCAAATATATTGTGATATCTCAGATCCGTAGCAAAAATTGATAATCTGTAACCTGTAACGTCAAATTATTAATTTATTTTCTTAAAACTGATCTAATTTAAGCTTAAAATAATATCTTGTAATTTTAAAACGTAAAAAAAAATAATTAAGTAAAATCTATAATATATACAAGAATAATAATTATATTTATTAAACCAGTTAAACATACATAAATCCAAGAAATAATAAAACGTATTTATATAATCATAAAAAAAATCTTGGTCAGAAAGATCTATGGTCAATAGCCATGCAGGTATTAATCTGTTTTATTATTATTGTTCTGAATAAAAATGTTTCATTTTATATAGAAAATATTAATATAATGTACAAGTTATATTGATTGAATTATAATTTATATTTTTTTTTATATTGAACGAATATACAAATAAAATTGTTTAATTTTAAATTAATTAATACATCAAAAAAAGTTTTTGCGTTTAAATTGAAAATCGCATTTATTAGCAAAATATAAACTTTTATAATGAATTCAGTTTATGCAAATTGAAAACTACAATTTTAGGTCGATTTACTTTATTTTCTTAAATACAGAAAAGTTTCAGAGGATTGCAATAACGAGGTTTACACGTGAAAGAGATTTATTTCGATGACACTTTATTTAAGTATAACAATCTATTGTAAACTATTTGTTACATAATTTATTTATTGAAAATTATAGAATTGTGCACTACAGGCTTTATATAATTTCGAAACATTATTTACAAAAAAATGTATTGTAAAATTGTAGATGCTTTAGAGATTATTTTCTAAATAGGTTGAAGATATATTTTCACAAAGATTATTGTAATTAATATTAAACCAATCAATGAGTATTAAAAAAACATGTTTTTTTATTGATTTTTGTTTTTATTTTATTTATTGTTCTACATTCACTATACCTATTTCAATATATACATCAAAAGAATACCTTAATTAATGCTAATATCATTTACTCGAAATCTACGTGCTTAAAATTAACGTTTTCGTACTTGTTTTCTTCATATTTCTTTTTTGTTGATGCTGCATAAAAACATTTTGTAATTTACATTTCGACGAATTAATTATTTACATTCAACGCGTCCGGCTTGTTGTTGTTATTGTTGATGGTGTACGGTTGCGGCGTTGTCGCTGTTTCCGGATGTATGTTTTTGGCAATGGAGAGGTCATCTGGTCCACCGGGAGATAGCGGAGGTCTTGGACTCGGAGAGCTTCGTACGCTTGGACTTCTGCTGTCTCCTGGGGAGCAAGGACATGGCGGAGGTAAACCAGATGAGTGCATCATGGCGTATCCTTCTGGGAGTTTCTCGTTGGACAATTGCTGCGACGGTAAACCTGGACCCGGTCTACCTATAAGAATAATAATAATATTCTACATTTTAATATTTCATAATTTTTTCTATTCAATAAATATCAACTTGGTTGATTTGTATTTTCTTTGTTATTTATTTATGACACATTAAATTTATATAAAACTAGTTCACTTTTTACAAATTATACGTTCCTGTAAAATATTCTTCTATACGCATAAATTTTATATTTCTATTGACATAGAATTTCAGTTTTATTCAAGAAATATTGGAATATATTTAAGAATATGCAATTGTTGATGGCCGGAAAGGTTAATAGCCTTTTGAACTACAACAGTACCACGCACAGTACAGCTTCGATCAGTGTGGATTCTATATAGTGCGGTTTGAAAATTTCATTACAAAATAAATTTTAATTGAGCTATATAAAAATAAATTATAAATATAAAATTGACCTTTTTGTTAATCTATATAGTTAAGTCTTGTCTTGTGTTGTTTATTGTTATATGGTTTTAAAGTTCTTGATTAGTCCGTATTCAAACAGTCCGGTTTTGCTTATAATTACGATAACTCAATTTCAAGAATAGATGGTTTAGATTATAAATTATTTTAGGATAGTTTAGATATAACGTTAGTTAAGATAAAACTGTATTTACTTATAAGTTTGTATTCATTATAATTAATTAGTATAGTTTTTAAAAACCGATCTATTGACATGTTTTTATAATTAATTAATTAATAAAAATAAGTATTTTATGTTCTATTTAACTATGGCAATTTACATGATTGTTATTTGAACTGTTGAAATAAATATGTAGTTTAATTTATATTTTTTATTGTAGCAACAATAGGAGTACAATTATATAATTTAAATTATGAATGTTGTAAATGTCAAGAAGAATTGGTGAAATAATTAAAGTTGTACAGTGGAACCTCGCTTAACGAGTTTAATCCGTTCCGAAATTTCCGGATTTTTACTCGTATATTAAAACATATTCAAAAATACACAAGTTTTAAAAATGATGTAACAGGCGCGCAATCCGGAACTTCTCATCGTCACTCGTTATGCGAAACGTCGCTCGTTAGCGAGTCATTTTTCTTACAATTAATTGTGCTCGTTAAGCGAAATGCTCGTTATGTTAGGTGCTCGTTAAGCGAGGTTCCACTCTATAAGAAAATTTTACTTCTAATCACATTTTACCATTGCCAAAAAAGGATACTCAAGAAAATCTCAAACATTTTACAATATTAAGACTTTATAAAAAAGATGATGTGTATATGGACTTTGTTGGACATCTGATATTTATTAATAAAATAATGAGCGAAGCATTAAAAGTATCAACTATAGTCCGTTAAAGAATTATAAGTATATAATATCAATTAAATCAGCGGCGTACGTTGCTTAATTAAAAAAAAGTATGAAATATTCGATATTTGTAATAAATTATATTTTATTATATATTTTTATAGTAGTAATAAAGTTAGTATAATTATAGAAATAATTAATTTATTTTTTAGTTAATAAAAATCATTAATGAATTTTTTGATTATTATTGTTTTGTGAATTGCATGTATAATTAGTACAGGACAATTGTAAAAGTAATTAAATAAAAATAAATTCTAAGAAGAAATAGTTCACAGAACTATGTTTTATTATTATGTAAATAGACATATCTTTTTTTTCTTATACAGTGAAGTCAAGCTCAAGTTTTTCCATTAGCTTGTAAGTTTTTGTGCGGTCTTTTTTATGCGGTATATGAAATCCAACCAATTCCAACGGCGTTAGCACCATTGTAATGTTTTCTATCAAAGTATATATGTACGCCTGCTCAAACGATTCTGTTAGTCGATTTTAAAACAATTAATCACAAAAAGATGCACGTTTTGGATTAACACGAGTAGCAGTGAATTATATATGTGCATTTTGAAAATTTCTCCACATATATAAAGAGAGAATTTAAATATTTTTAAAATGTTATTATATGTAAGAATTTATGAAAATTTCGATTTTTTTAGTGCGATTTCTTTTATGCGGTCCCTATCTACCGCACAAAAGCAGGTTTTACTGTTATTTTATTTATTATGTTTTATTTTTGAGTATGTAGTATGATTTGTTACAATAAATTTTATTATTATTACGAATATAATTTTGGTCAACGAACATTTTACTGATGTAGAATAATTATTGATATCTTATTAGTACTTAATTAAGAATAAAATAATATTAAGTTCAGATTAGCAACTATCGTATGATTGTGATAATTATGATAATAGTTTCTAGGAAATAATCAAGTGGAGGTGATATTAATTAGCAAAATATATGAATTATAAAGAAATTCATACATAAATAGGTCTGAAGAACTTAACCAATGATTAATTTAAAGGAATGGAAATAGTATTAGTAAACAATTATTAAATCTGCTTTTACAATATAAATATTTTGAAATAACTTGTATTGTATGCAAATTATTTAATTGTTTAGAAAATATTATGTATTATCACGTAATAGTTGAATAATAAAAATAACGTCGCTACAATGAATGACATTCCTGTACATCGCAAACGCGGAAATTATTTTAACTTGAATATTTCTTTTGTGAAGATTCATATATTTAAATAAGTGCCTTGTAAGTAATGCGTGTAATATCTACAGAGTACGTTGCTTCCATGTTATGAATATGTGTGATGTTCAATTACATTCAAGTTAATATAAAAGTTTTGTGTAATTTTCTTCAAATTTATCAAGATTTTAATAATATTATTATTAATAAAAAGACTTTGGACAAAAAAAAGTTTTTTTTTAAAATATTATTAATTAACCTTTTGAATATGCCTAGTGGGGCATAATTTTAATTTTCTAGAAAATTTACCATTTAATTTGGTTGGTATGTCAAGGTTCATGCATGTCTATACATTTGTTAGGTCTAGAAATGTAGGCCTCTCAAAGTGTTTAAGAAAAACATAATAACATAAAACTAATTAATATCTACTTAATTAAAAAAAATAAATTTAGATTACGTATTTTTAAATGTATAATGGTTTATAATAATATAAAATTACGATGAACAAAATTATTACATTTGCTTCAATAAATATAGTAGGAACTGATTCACGCAAAGTCTAATAATAATAAATTTTTACATATATTCAAATTTTTTAAAGTTTATAATGAATATAATAAATAAATGTAGATTTATAGAATGTTAATATGAAAAAGCCATTCAATTTCTGTCAATAAAAATATATTTTAATTAAATTAAAAACAACATCCATTTCGATACATTTGGTATATAAAAGTAAATAAATATATATAATTACAATTTAAAAAAAAATGCATTAGTCTTTCATAGATTTTTCCGCTAGAATTAATCATTATTAATAGCATTTTTTTATAGCATCTATTTTCATTTATAATATGTTACTAAAAGGCCAATTAGTAAAGTTATTAGTTTTAAACATTATGTTATTAAATTGTTAATTCAATAAATAAAATATTCAAATATTAATTTAATAAATATTTTGTTTTAAATAAAACGATATAAATGCTTGTTATGTTATTAACTTTGTATTATATAATAATATCTATTGTATATGTTATATAATAAAGTAAAAGTGCAGTTTTTTGTGTATGTTATTATTTGTATTATTGAATAATTGTTACTATATATATTCTTAATATTATTATATAATATTGCATGCATGATTCAATATTATGAATTTTCTTATGAGTAAAAATTATGGGTTAGTACCTGTTAAAATGAGCGGAGGAGTAGTTAAACCAAGACACCTCATGCGCCAAGCGTCTTGAAGAAGTTGAAGTCTTGCTTGTTTCCTCCACTTAGCTCTTCGGTTTTGGAACCAGACCTTGAAGAAGATCAACCAAAGTATGTTACAAACTACATGTTACATGACAATAGTATAAGTTTTACATACCTGCACTCTGGCCTCGGAGAGACTAATCCTGAGCGCGACTTCTTCGCGTAAGAAGACGTCTGGATAATGCGTTTTCTGGAAGAGCGCTTCGAGCTCCTGTAGTTGCTGAGGACTGAAAGTGGTCCTATTCCTTCTCTGCCTACGTCTACCGAACATATACTCTGTGAGCAGATCTCCAGGCAACGGGGATAGATAAGGGCCGGACATGGTGATGTTTGAAGCGGACGATCTGATGGACCGTCACGTTATACCCTCTGTGTGTTTTATCAGTTTACTGTTTTACATTAAACTGCTGACTTCGAAATGCACGCTGATGGCTATCATAAGACTAACTCCACCCCTTCAATATCCCTATTGGATAATCCGCGCGGCGACGAGGGCGTCGGGACGCTCGCGCATATCGAATCCCTGATGCTATTATACATCAAAAACACACGTACACCATTGTCTGGTTTCGGTTCTGTCATCCCCCTGAGCACACACTGCTTCTAAAGAAAACCAAGTATCCGATAATGAATTAATTAGGTGGTTCAGGTGTGGCACAGGTTGAGAGTAATTGAAACGTCCGATTTTCAATCTGTTTAGTGTGGATGCGCCTGGTACTCCGTCCCGTTCATTTTTTTGTCTTCTTCATCTTCCTGTCCTATTGTCTGTGGGCGTGTACTTTTACCCCGCCCTCAATCCCTTTTTTTCGAATATGAAGTAATGCATAATTTTCATTAGGGCGTTATATACACGGCTATTCTCTCCCCGTTCGAGCTGTTTCTGTTCTCCATCCCTATCTTTCGCTTTCTCTCTCCATTTTTTATTATTATTATGATGATTTCTCTTTTTCCAGTGGACAATGGAAGCGTCTGCGAAGAAAATGTGATTCTGGGCATATCTGTGATTCTTTACAATTAGACTTTCCACGGTTCTCCCTCGACCCCCGTACCTCGCGCATTTCCTTTTTATTTAATCCTCGCTGCAATTCTTAATTATTCTTGCGTCCTTTATGTCCTTCTCGTTCTGTTGTTGTTGTGTTTCGCGATGTTTTCTCGTTTTCGTTTTGCCTCTTTAATGCAATGCAATTTTTCAGTTACGTTGTTTTTTATGTTTAATTTAATTTCAGTTTCATCACGAAATTGCTCTCGACGTTCTTTGTACATCACACAATTACTTCAGTATTTTAAAAACTCGATCTGCCGTATTTTAAAAGTAGAATTTAGGAAAAGTAACATCAATATGATTTTAACTATTATTTATAACTAGTGTAAATTATTAGATAATATAAGACTATTCAAGTCACAGATTATCGGTAACCCGACCTCAGAAGATTAATTGTGATATTATTACAAAAATATATAAATACAGTAGAACCTAGCTTAACGAGCAATTCGCTTAACGAGCAAAATAAATTTTAAGAAAAATGAAACGCAAAAGGGAACGCATTATCGTATATTACGTTAGTTTATATGGGGAAAATTATTTCATTTTATGAGTAAAAATCCTAAGTAAGGTTCCACTTTACGTAGTGCAATATGCAATATACATGAAAGAAAAAACTGTAGATATTTAAAAAAAGATATAATTGTAGGAAACATTATTTTAATATAAATAATTAATATTTATAAGATTTAAATAATATTTATTTGAAAATCAATTTTAATTATTTGTCTTAAGTTAAACTTTATTTGAAGTTTCATAAAATATTTAAGTGAAAAAATTACAAAATGTCGAATATTGAATAAAGGGCGCATAGACATTTGGGCATAATTATAAAATGAGTACTTTTAGATCAATTTAAATTACTTTTTAGACATATTCATATCACTCAAGTTTTAATTCCTGCAACTCTGAGAAAAAGAACTAAATTGATTCTTATACAATAATACATATATTCAATAGTACTTTGCAGCACATAAACTTTTTATTTTATTCATATTGTTATGTATCATTTTGTTCTTTTTAAATTATATTAATAATAATTTTAAAAATATTTTATTGATTTTTTGTAATTATTGATATGCGTTGTATGATATTATGCATAAAGGAGTCGAATTTGAATAAACTTGTATTTAGTCGTTGACTCCCTTGATTAATTTCTTTTATTTGAATTTAATAATCGTTTAGGAGGTTGAATAAATGTATAGTGAATAATTGATTGAAAGCTGTTGATTGTTTATGCGAATATAATAGAGTAGGAATGTAATCATGGGGTGTACAAATGGTCCACGCACGGCATGGTAGTTTATGGATAGCTGACATAGGGAGGTAATGCAGATTATGCGCCCAAGCGGTGGAGGAGGGCCGTAGGGGAGGATTTCGAGAGATTCTCCTCCTCCTCTCATCCATCTCGGTGTTCTTCCTTCCATCCACCCCCGGCTTTATTAATTACAGAACTTGGGTGTTGTAACGCCAGGCCAGGCCTCCATTGTTCGAAATTTGATTGTCGTATCGCATCAAGTTTTCGACGTCGAGGCCGCAGATGGCTTTAAAATAATTAACACACAAAACTCATTTAAATCTGTGCGAAAATTACACTTCTCAGCACAGAAGATGAGCGGTGGTGCATAGCAGAAGAGGAGAAAAGAAGAAATAAAAAGGAAAAAAGAGAAATAACAACTGTAAAAACAGACACAGCGTAAACTGGAAGGAGCAGAAAACGCTGCAGGAGGAATTAGAGATGAGGGAAGGAATGTTTGATACGCGAGCGAGAGGTTCTTTTCTGAGAACTTTGTAGGCGTAAAATGCGTTAGGAATGGCACAGAAAAATAATGGGAAATGCATTCATTTTGATGAACGCGTAATGAACTCGAGAGTCCGGATGTGGAAAACACGACTCCTCGGGCCGTGGGCTCCGGGAGCTGTTTTCCTTTTCCGCACAGACGAGGTGATGATCCAAACAGTGGGTCCCATTGTCTTCGACACCGAACCTGTGTACATGTCTCTATGGCACTCATTGTCACATTTACTTCACATAATAATCATCCCATATCCACGAACAAAACAGACACAGCAGGAGAAAAAAATAATGGAAAAAGATACGAAGAACAAGCGGAAATATGTGCATTCATCACTCCAACTGCAATTTGCCCAAACACACCTTTACATCTGCACAGACGTATTTTATATCTATATACTTACTATATACATATACTATTTTTCTTCGCTTCATGCACATTTTCTCTACAACTCTTTTATTTCTCCTTATTTGTTCTATACTCTTTCTTATCAGAATATATACAAAACTAAACATTCTTAACTTATTTATATTCTTCTATAATAAATCTTCATTAAACACGTAGATTCCATAACAATTTTTTATGTATATAATATACTTTTTAGATGAAAATTAAAGTAATAACAAATGCACAAATTATTTAAAAAAATGATTCAATTAATCGCTGCAAAAAAGTAAATGAAGTAATCATTTATAAATCTATATTTTCGTATTGGCATTGCGTAATATGAATATCGCGTTATAATTCTTTAGTCAAATCTAATCTCGTTATCATATCTTTCAAACTTAAACCATTATATTTTGATTACCAATGCATTTGAAGTAGGTGTATCAATCAATTCCTCTTCAACTAAAGTATTTTCCCGAAATAATTCTTCTACATCAAATTTAGTTGAAAACGCGTTATAAGAGAACCGTTTCGCGTTATATAGAAACCCAATTCTAATCCTTTACTCAAATATAATCCCCTTTGCATATTTTTTAAATTGAATTTGTTAAATCATTATATTTCGTCTACCAATGCATTTGAGTAGATGTATCAATTAATGCCATCAATTCTCCTTTATCTAAAGTCTTTCCTCGTAATTCTTATTCTACATCTAATAGAGAGTAACGCGTTATATGAGGTTGAAATACATCAATTATTATGTTTAAACATAACAAAGTTATTTACATTTTTGACATACATTATTTTATCTTATATTGATTAAACACTTTGTAGCAAAAATAGTGAACTGTTAAAGTTTAATAGAATTAGACATGAAACAATATAAAAAATTGTTGAAATTCAAATAAAAATAATTTAATGGCAAAAATCAACAGAATTTATTTAAAATGGAGTAATAATATCAATATATTGACTTACGAAGAATTACCCAGAATGTGTAAATAATAAAAATTTATAAAATTGGGTTAATGATATATATTTCGACTAGAAAGTAGGTGATATCAACAATACTAAATGTATACTTTAAATTACATTATGTATCAACTACAGTTATCTAGAATTACAATAAAATGTTCATTAAATTATGATATGATAAGTCAATCAGCTGCTGCTTATGCTGATGTGTTCACTTTGCAATCATATGTAATTATGTTTTTCATAGATAGGAATTTCCGGTGTTGTTGTAAATAATAAAAATTACATTGTAATTTTTCAAGAATGGTTTACATTCTCTATAACAAATTGTTGTTTTAAAACGCAGTTTCTTATTTTTTTTCTTAAATTATTTAAAACGTAGTTTGTACAAATGTTTTTTTTTATATTATTATATGATTATTGTTTAATTAATATTAAATGAGAAAAAAATAATTCATGTTAATTTATAAAAAGGTGTGAAAATGAACGAATGTCATAATGTGATTTTCGGATATGCATGGAACAGGTAGTTTACATTTCTACAAGATCCATCAGCTTCGGATTAACTGAATGCATTTCAACTGATTCAAAGGACGTACAAAGACCCCAACCCTTTCAAATCTTTCCGGTATTATACCAGTTAGGGGAAGAAAACAAAAGTTCCGCAACAATGATATCATCGTACAATTCAATCACATACTGACAAACACAAATATGTATAAACACATTCACGTTCAGCTTTTAGAAATAAATATATTTTAAATATGATTAATAAATATTCTTTGTATAATTTCGCTAATAATTTTATGTTTTTATTTAAAAAAAAATCGATTACATTTTTAATTTTATTTGAATGATTTTTCCTGCTAATTTAATAATTGTTTACTATAACTCAAAGTTAACAAATTAAATAATGCTTTAGATTTTAAGAATTAAATGTTTTGGAATTATTCAATACTTAAGTACATTTTGTTAGGAAAATAATTTGTGAGGAATACAGGATCAACTTGATATAAACTATTGTCTTTTTTGATTTAATAACAAATAATATTTGAAGAATTTTTATTACAATTTTGATGTATTTAATTAACAATTATAGATTAGATAAACGTCATTATGACAATACAATTAAATTTATTTGTACATCTTATGGAAATATCATAATCAACGTGATTTTTTTTGTAATTGTGTGTAAAAGCTTCAATGAAATAAATGGATTAATTTTATATTCGTTGGAGCATTTGTGA